GACCTAGAAGCATGGAATGGGATGTGTCGAAGAAAGCCTTCCTCCACAAGCCTGAAACAATCATAGCAAGCACTCCCCCAGCTCCTCATCACTCACGTGTCTATGATTCACACCTGGAGGTCTTCTTGTTGGCTTTTTCAGTCCTGTTGTTGTTGTTATATGCCATGAAGTCAGACCTGACCCATAGCAACCCCTCCTTGGGTATCCAAGGCACTATCACTACGGAAGTAGATTGTCCAACCTTCCTTCCAAGAAGTGGCTGATGGGTTTGAACCACCAGACTTCTGGTTAGCATTCAAGTGCCTTAGGCACTAGGCCACCAGAGCTCCCTCTTGAGTGCTAAGGTGGTATAAATGGCTAATGTGCATGGTTACTAACTCAAAGGTTGGTGGTTCAAGTCCACCAGAGATGCCTCAAAAGATAGACTTAGCAATTTTCTGAAAAATCAGCCACTGAAAACCCTATGGAGCAGTTTTACCCTGACACACATGGGGCTGCCATGAGTTGGAATCGCCTTGACCACAACTGGTTACTGTTTAGAACTTTCCATCCATCTAAACTTTAACATGAGGGATTATAATGCCAAGTAACATTTCCAATCACCAATTCTGGAATACTGAGTATCTCAAGTGTAGCATAGGATCCAAGCACATCCCATTTCCTCTTCTCCCGCTCTGTGTTCTTTCCTTTCTGTGCTTTCAAAGCAGGTCCTCATAGTATAATTTTGGGTGCACGGGCTGACTTCAGCACCTCCTCTGGCAGCCTACTCTTTCAAACTTCTCAGTTGGTGAGATTAAATTGGCAAACAGTTACCTGTCACTTCCATTCTTTTGCCTACCCGAATGAGACGAACCCCCTGCCTTCAAACAGTTGTTTCTGGTGTTGTGGCTCCATGACCAGACTGATAATTAAACTCCAAGAAACCAAAACTACAGGCGCCTCCCCCAGCTCTCCCAGAGAAAACAAAAAGTCGAATTCCCGCTCCTGTGCCTGGAGGAGCATCGCGGACTTGGGGTCAGAGAACAGAGTCTCACATTTTCTTTCTGGTTTTAGAAACACAGAAGTTACTGGGAGCCACAAAGGTAGGAAGTTGTCAGGACTGCTTCTCTTAAACTGTTCTGAAACCCAGGGTCGCTCCAGGGGAGTGGAAAAAGTGAGGGTGAAGGGGTTACTCATGGTACACATTGTTTCTATTGATTATTTTACTTGAAGAGACTATGTCACTTCCCTGGAAAATTAAGGAAGACAGAGGTTTTTCTTTGAATATCTTTAAACATTTGCAAATGGTTACTCTGAACTCCCCAATGTACCATAAACAAGTATAAACTGTAGAAATTCAGAAAATGTACAAATACAAACAGCTCCCCCCAAGCCCCTGGGCAAAGACAAAGAAGGGAGTATTCCATTTATAAATGGAATTCTTTGTGGATAGAATTGTTTGGAAAATGTTTATACATTTTTTTTGTCCTTATTATCTGGGGGGGGGGGTATTTCTTTACAGTTTACAGAAGCAGCAGAACTGGTGTTTGGAATCTTAAAAGTTCAAGATTAAAGGGAGTTTACAACTAAAGTTAATTAGTTCTGCATCTAGGGAAGCGATCTGCCTGTTCAGATCATCTGTAATCATATCAACAAACAAGAACCCATAAAGTCAGGCAACCAGGAACAGAATAACCAAACTGGGGTTGGGGGGATACTAGAACTTTCAAAGAACTAACAAATATGATGGTTTCTTTGAAGAAAATTGTAGCTGGCTGGGTTATCGGTTTCAACAGTCTCCTCTGAATCTTTTAAAAAATATGAAGATTAATTATAATACAATATGAGAATGGTGGACGTAGTGAGAATGAAGAGCCCTGATCGAAGTGACTGGCAGACTCTGCTCTGAGAAACAATACAACAAGCCCGCAACAAACACAAGGGGAAGTCACTCACTCACCTGCATCTCACCCGCTACAACTCTCAGCCTGGGCTTTGTTTTGGGTTTGTAATGATTTCCACTTTGGCTTCAACCCATCAGCCAACCCATGGCACAAAAGCCATGCAGTCCTTTATTTAACAGATGCATTTTCAATTTCCCCAACCGTATGAATGGGCTGGGTTTCTGAAAGCAGAGAAGAAAAACAGCACCACGTGTGCCCAGAAAATCAGTAGGGTCAGAGAATGAGAGTGAATTATGGTAGGTGAGATTGTGCTGCGAGGTGATGTGGGAGACAGAGGGCAAGAGGAAGTGTGATTTAGTGGAGGAGAGGCAGTTCCTCCTCCATCTTAAATCACACGCCTTGTCACCCCGCTGTAGCTGGCAAAGCCACGCGTTTCTGACTTTAGAGAAAAACTGTAATTTCTTGGGGGGCTCATCACCAACCTCTAAGGGCTATGGACAATTTCATCACCACATCTTCTGAAGCCAAGTTAATATTTTTAGTAATGACTCTGATCCATACACAAAACCTTAGTCTGATTCCTTTGTCAAAAACATGTATCATCCAAATAGTCATTACATGTTTAATGTTTCTGTATTTTGGTCCCATGCTATATGGTACTATTCTTGACCTGGTCATTTCTCAGCCCAGTCAAGGAAGTAAAACCCTTCACCTCTTGTTCATCCTTTACTTTATTTCGAATGAGTGCTGTTAAAACATGTTTAAAATTACAATTCTCAATGCCTTCTGACTTTCTAATAGCTGTTACTCTTTTTGTCATACACATTCCCATTATTCACTGCTTTGTCAACCAGATTAAATTACTTTCATGGAGAAATCAGGGGCATTTTCAATCGAGGTGTCTGCAAAGAAGGTTGTGGCTATCTGTCTTCAAACAGTGGAACTCACAGATATAAAATCAAGAAGGAATGCCGAGCTGATTTTTTAGTATTCTGTTCCTACTGGGAAAACCATCAGTGGAAAAGGGAATCTCAAACTGTGGTGGCTAAGGTACCCTCTTACACTACCCAACATGTTCCATTGCTATGGCTCTGTGCTTCCCAAGAACACTGCCTGTAAGTTAGCTTCCCATGCAAAGATGCCAACTTACGAGTCAATGGGCTGGAGACAATCACATATCACACTGTGGAGTAAAAGATTAGTATTCTAGGTTGTTGCTGCTGGAAAATCAAGAGTTAAATTTAACTGTCTGAAAACTTAGGAAAGTTGGTAGGCAGGCTCAACTGTCCCTAGGAACTTTCCACCTAGACAACTAAGGTGAATAAAACAATTTCAACAAATGGGGTAGTAAAGGAACCAGTTAGCCTATTCTTCTATGACCGAAGCAAAACCACTGCTATCAAGTTGATGCCGACTCATAGCAACCCCCATTGGGTTTCCAAGGCAGTAAATCTTTACGGAAGCAGATTGCCGCATCATAGTTCCACCAAGCAGCTAATGGGTTTGAACCACCAAGCTTATGGTTAGCAGTCAAATGCCTTAGGCACTGCGCCACCAGTGCTCCTTTATTCTATAGTGGTGGGAAAAACAAATGTAGCTCTAGAGTCAGACAGCCTGGATTAGAATCTTGACTTTGCCATTTACTGATTTGATAATCTCAGGTAAATCACTTAATAACTCTGTATCTCAGTTTCCTCATGTGTAAAATGAAGACAATAATTTTTGTATTCATCAAAATAGATGCTACTGAAAAACACTTAGAAGAGGGCAAATTTAGCAGTTATTCTTCCTACAAGGTCCACTTCTCTTATCCCAGGCCTTCTTTCTTCCTGGGTTTGTATTCCCCTCCCTGCAGACTATAAATGCTTTGAGGGTAGGCACTGCAGCGTATTTCCTCTTACAGCTCCCCAGCCCCTGAAAGGAGGTGTGCACAAGTCAGGTGCTCAGTGAATATGTCACCCTTTGCTTCTCTCTGTAAACAGTAGACAAGCTCAGCTGCACTTTGGGTTGTTTGCTCGACAAAGAGCTTGGGCTCTGGGTCCAACCAGTCTGAGTTGAATACTAGCTCCCTCACTTACCAGCTCCGATTTGAACATTTCCAAGTCTCACCTTCCTCGTTTGTTAGATGCAGACTATGACTATTGCACCAGGGTGCATGGGAGGATCCAATGAGATCGTAACTAACTGCCATACATGCTAGTTCCCCTTCCCTTCACCAAAATATTGCTATCACTATCAGTGGCTCACTAGGCGTCCAGCAGGATTCCCTCCAGGAGGTCAGAGATACGCACTCACACAGCTCAGCAGTGCAGCTCTTTTCCTTGACAAAGCCTTTCACTGTCTGCTGACATAAGCAGCAATCACCTAAACTCTGAGTCCAAGAAAGCAAAGCGGTCAGTGACAGGTGGAGCTGCCCTGGTGAGTGGGAGTTGGTGCCTAACTGAGGGAAGAGACCCTGTGAGCAGCAGCTACAGAGTCACTGCTCCAACACCTCTGCTAAGCAAGTGAGGCTTAGTGGTCTGAGTTCTGTTGGCCTAAGCACATAAAGTTAGTTTTTCTTCTAATCTTGCAAATGGAATTCCGTGGTCATTGAGCAAATTTGGTGAGTTGGGACATTCTGTTAGTGAGGTTACTGGTTCTAGGAAGTGGCCCAGTTCATGGGTTAGCTCGGCCCTTTACCACAGCCTTGCAAGCTCATGTCTGAACATGTAGATGTACCAACGAATCTCTCCTTTCTCCCCACATCCCACTTCTTCCCAACAGGGTGAATTACAGAGGTGAGCATAAAAACAAAATACATATGTTTAAGGAGTTGGTGCTTCAAGTTAGGTTTAAGACTGAGCTCTGTCAGTTAGTGACCCTGCCCATGGCATGTACACGCTGTGACTCAGTTTCCTCCACTGTAAAATAGGAATACTGCTACTTGACAATTGCTCAGTGTCACAGATGTTGTTTGGATCAAAGAGATGACAGTATGTGACCACACAAGATGTACTGCAAACCACAACTGGTATAACCATGATTATTACTACACTCTCTGTCGCCTCTGCCTTGTAAGAAGAAGAGGTGCACTGACTCGTGCCGAGGAGAGAGAACCCAGGTGGACATACAAACCTTTTACTTATTCTGATTTCTAATTCGGAGGCACCTCCTTTTGAGCGGCGGCTCCAGGTCCTCGGGCCCGGCGCTGAGCATGGGCGAGGAGATGACGCACGGCGCCATGGCAGTCTTCTCCGCGGGTTTTGGCACAGGCTGGATCACGCAGCCCGTCTTGGGCAGCATCCGCAGAGCATACGCGTGGTCCTCGTCCGCGGGGTTATTAAGGTTCGGGTCTGACTTGTCGCCCCCCGCCAGGGCTTCCTCCCCCATCAGCTTTTTGGCCGCCTCCCCGTCCAGGTGGCAGTTGGAAGCACAGTTGTTCTCCTTGACGGACTCCAGCTCGCTCACCGCCGGCTCCTCCGGCGACAGCAGCTTCTTGGTGGGCGCGGGCGGAGGCGGCGGAGGCGCTGGGGGCTGCTCCGGCGGCGGCTCTGCGCTCTTAGCACCCTCGGCGGC